ATTTTTAAATTTATTCATTAAAAATTTTGAATTTTTTGAATTTGAAATACATAAAAATATGTTTTTGATCATTAATATAATAAAAGTAACAAGAATATTATTATTTTTTAAATAAATATTGAAAAATAAAAAAGACATATATATAAAGGTGCAGAAAACTGACACGTAATAATTGTTTACTCAAGTCGGGTTAGGGCTGCACGTTTGGTTTCTGTTTAGAGCATAAGTTTGGGCCTGAAAATTTATTTCCTTTTTTTTTCTTTCATTTTTTGGAACAGAGCATAAATATGGCCCAACTTTTTTTCTTAGCCTTTTTTTTCTATTTTTGGAACAGAGCATAAATATGGCCCAATTTTTTTCTTAGCCTTTTAATTGTATTTGATTTAATGAAATTTATCAACAGGGTCCATGATAAAATTTTATATTAGTATAAGTCTTAATTTAATACTTTCTAAATATCTATGTAACGAATTTAATTATACGCACATTTTAGATATTTTCTATTTTTTAAATATAAGATAGTGATAAATATTATATAAATAATATTATATAACGGTAACCTAATAAAATATTAAAGAAGTAATATAATTTTTAAAACTCTAAGTTCTATGATAGAAGTTGAGAAAACTAGTTATCTTACATAATTTTTTCAAAACTTAATTAAACTTAGTATTTAATTATAATAATAATCTCAACCAAATTTTATATCTTAAAAAGATTCTATTCAGTCTTAACATAGAGACTTAAATGTGTAGGTAATGAGAACTTGTTAACTTAAAAGTAAATTTTTAATTAAACGATAATATAACAACAATAAAAATTAACTAAAATTTTAGTTAAAATGTTGTCATTTTAAATTTTTGCACATTTTATCAAATTTTTATCTTCATATAAATGAGTTATTAATAAAAATTAGAACAAAAATTATCAAGTTAAAATATTTTATATTGAAAGAATTCGTAACTCTTATTTTGTATTGTATAGGGAAGCTAAATATATACAAATCAATTATTACCAATTATACTATAATTATAATATAATAATCGTATTGATAATATTAAATAAAAATATTTAATTTAATATGATATTGTTTTAATCTTATATTATCACAAGTTGTGACAATTTAATAATGCAAAACTTTTTTTTAAACATACCATAATTATAGAAAGTTTTTAAAATTAAATTTAAATATTTATAACAATAATAGAAAAAATTAAAAATTAAAATATACTAATGGATTAACTTTAATGTGCACCTCTATTAATTTTATATTTTGAAAAGTATGAATTATAATAGTTCCGAAATATTAAGATATTAGATAGAATTAATTAAACTAAAACATTTATCATTCAAATATTTTTTTATAAATATAAATCATTATTATTTATAATTATAATAAAACTCAATCCTCATAAAAATAAAATAAATTTATTAAATAAAATAAACATTTGATTGGTTTATTTTTATTTTATTAGGATGAGTTATATATTTTAAAATATAAATAGTATACTTTATTAATTGACTTTTTATTTTAAAATATAGTTCCGTAAACTAATTTATAAATGGTTCATCATTATGTTTCGTAATAAATATTAGTGGCTATTTCAATGTTTTCTTTTAATATTTTTTAGCAACCCACTAGCGTTGGGATTTTTTGGAAGAATTTTACTATTTTTAAATATTCTTTATGATGATTGGTTGAATCATCCTATCTGGTGACTGGAGATATATGTTGTGTGAATGTTATATATTTCCTTCAGTGCTAAAAATGGACTTATATTTGTACAAATAGAACATAACTTGGATATTCAATGTTTGTTGTGTGAACGTTTCTAAAATATAAATGTGACAATATGTTTCCACATAAAAATAATGTTATAATAATTTGTCACTTATTGTCCTATTCAACAATTAGTATAAAGTCACATGTTTTAATTATAAATTTGAATTTTAAATCTTAATTGAAATATTACCTGAAGATTTATTGAAACAAGAATCGAGTTTTTAGAAATAAAAGACAAAATTTTAAAAATAATTTCTTAAATATATGAAAATGTAATATACTGAAAATAAAAAATAAATTGCTAAAATTATTAATGACAGAAAAATATAAATTATTAGAAAATGTAAATTAACATACATAAAATAGAAACTGGTAAAAAAAAGTTAATAAAAGTAGTTACCGACTTTATTAAAAAGTCTTTTCATGATTCAAAAGGATTTTTACAATACAAGTTTTTAATATAATTTTTGTATGTATTTACACTTGTTTGATTTTATTTATATTTATTATCTTTTATATATATTAATAAAATAAAAATATCTTAAAAAAGTTTTTCAACTAACTATTATTTTTATCCAGGAAAGTCCTATTAAATTATTTATAACGATTTTAATCAAATAAAAAAATTATTACCCTTCTACATTTTTTTAATTTTATAACTCCTTTGATATCTTTTCTTGATTTACTGGATATTCTACTTTACCATATCCTATGATTTTTATTTTTTTTATCTTTTCTCGAATTCTCGATTTTCCTTCTCTCATATCTTATTTTTCTATTATTTTTAATAGTTCAATTTTTCAATTTTTTTTTTACCGTCTCAATCTTTAATTTTTACTCTCCAACTTTAATATTTTTTTTAAATCATTATTTTGATTCATTTATAAATTTTAAGACAGCATAATAAAATTTAAATATATTTTAAATCTCCAAATCTTAATTTTCTTTTATAGAGTTTAACACATAATTTAAAACAAGAAAAATTTACTTTTATATTTTTAATGAGAACAAATATCGAACTCTTAATCTTCTTTTATAGAGTTCAAAACATAATTTAAAACAAGAGAAATTTACTTCTATATTAATGAGAACAAACTAGATCAATTTATATCCCAAAATTCTAATGAACACATTTATGTAATAAATCAACAATTTAATTTGAAAACAATTCATTTAAAGGTTAGAAATTTTCTCTGATTTTTGTAAATTATTTGTATTCTCTACTCTCATTCTTAAATGCTACTTTAAAAACTCATGCAGCACTCTTAAGATTCTTGCTGTGTCATCTTTTCTAAGGTTTTGGACACAAAAACACAGCATCACCTCCATTTCGTGTACCCTCTAACTAACCAAATGAACAAAGAAAAAGAAAATGAAAAAGTTTTAATTTAATAACAAAATTCAGAAATAACACAAGAATGGTATCAAAATTCACGAGTAGTATATACAGAATAAATTTGACATTATTTAAACAAAAGAGTTAGAGTAGGAAAATACGTAAGGACTTCTTTGGTTCCAAAATGAAACAGTCTTATGTAACCATTTCTTCATTCATTAACTTTGCGTCTGAATGTCAGAAATCATATATAAAAGGGTGAATAAAATATAATGATCGAAGCGAATGGGGATATGAGTTACAGAGTTTAATGAGTGCACGTAAATGCATAGATTATTTGGTTCCAAATGAAAACATTTAAAGTTCATGGCATTTAGTCATTCACTTTGGCTTATATAGTTACATTCATTTTAATTTATTTTATAGATTTTTTTTATTTTCCTTATATTAAAATTTTATATTTTTAATTCATATTATTACTTGAATTCATTAAAATCAGTGTATATATGTTGAATTCGAAAAGTCAAATGATCTTTCCTACTCGTATCAGGAATATATGTGGTGCAATATAGTTGAGTATGTGACATTTTTAATTTCTTTTCCAATATTCTCAAAAGTAAATGTTATATTTAATTATTTTAGAATAATTTTAAAAACAAAAACAAATACTAAAAAACTTGAATAAATGAAAATAAAAAACACATTACAATGAATAAAATTATTCTATAAGAACTATGATTATAATTCTAAAAGTATACACTAAAGTAAATTATAAAAATCAAAACCAAAACATTTTAAGAAACTACAAATTATTTAAAACGTGTTCACTTCGTTGCCGGATGGTTTTTCTTTGTTGGGGATGTTATTTTCTTTCTCAGAATTTGTCTCTATCTATGATTTTGTGCTATGAAACTATCTTATTAATATTATTATGTATATATAGTGTCAGTTTCTTAAAAGATTTTAAGAAAATGTTATTTTTTAAATCAAAGCATGTGATTGATATAGTCATAATATGTGATTTTAAATATAATTTCAAAAGATTGAAACAATATAAAAAATTATTAAAAAATATAAATTGTATTGTTTGATATACCTGGCATAATGTAAAAAATGTGAATAAAGGCATTATGACTGTTAGATGAATTATTTTTCTAAATTTTTTAAATATATATAATATTATTTAATTTTAAATATTTAACAAAAAAATTAATTTCTTCGCTAGGATGGTTAAAACAAGTGATTAGCTTAAATTTATAAATCTTAAAATAAACTTAATATTTGTATTTAAAATATTATTTATTAATTTCTCTTATTTAAAACATATGTATACAAGTCACGCCACATCATATAATCCAATATATAGTAAAATTTCTTAAATACTGTTATTTAATTTTGATCAATATTTATTAATAATTAAAGTAATTAAGGAAGAAAGTCATTGTAAGAAATACTGTTAAGAAGAAGTATATTTTTTTTTTCCGGTGGAGTAGAAAATACGTGTATATAAGGGTCATCATTGTAACAAACAAGAATACCAAAGAAAACAAAAATCATCTCTTGAAAAGACAAAATATCACACAATGGCAAGTGGCATGAATCGATCTCTTGTCTTGGGAATTCTGTGCATTGCCTTAATCTTATGTGCTTCAGGTATGAAAAAAAGGATGAATTTGTGTGATTTTTTTTGAACTTAACTTATGCTTATTAGTTTTGTGCCATTATTTGTTTAATCTTTCTTGATGAGTAGAAGAATGCAATTGTGTGTTACTCTTGTAGGTCTAGCAACATGTCTGGAACAAAGAGGACTAAACGGAACAACAGATACCTGCCTTGGACCATGCCTTCCAGGTTGCTTCATTCTATGCCGTCAAAGTGGTTTTAGATCTGGTGGTTGTTTGCCCCCTTTCCCTTGTTGTTGTGTGTAATAATGTCTGCGTCATGATCCGTTTTGAAGTATCGCTTTGTAAATAATCGACGGATATTCACATGAATAAAAGATCAAGTTTCTTATGCAACCTTTTCCTTTATATGCATGATCATGAAATTCAATTTCATACTTTTAAAAATAACTTTTAATTTTTTTAAAATTTTAACAGTTTCGTTAGAATAATTATTAATTTTATCATATAAGGACATGGTACCCTCTTTATTATTTCCATATTTTTGTATGTCAGGGGTTTAGAGAATCGATACACATCACAAAGTCCAAAATAGTTTTATTGTAATCCAAATTTGAAATAAACTATGTAGTAAATTAATTATATTGAATTAAAAAACAAAATAAAGATGGTTAAAGTTACATACAGTACACTTTTTTTTCTGTATAAAAACATGAATTATTTATTACTTTATTAGTTATCTATTTTATTTTTTCTCTTAATTATTATTATTTTATTAATTTTCTTACTTATCTTTTTCTCTCTTATTATGTCACCTATTCATAAATTATAAATATCTAAAAAGAAGAAAATTTAAACAAAACATATATACTACTAATAATTTAAAATTTGGATGAAAAAATAAAAATATTTTATTTGAACATGTTGTAATTTTGTAGCTTATCATATATAACTCCTTACTTGTTTGGTTAATTGTTTGTTGCCCTCCAAAATATATATCATTCTCTATATTTAATCAACACCTTTCCGAAAAAACAAAAATATTAGAACTTTATTCACTCATATTATTAGAAGGAAAACAAATAAAAATAATATTGACAAATTTTAATGGACAAAAGGCAAAACAAATAAAATAAAATTGAAGATTATCTTAGAGTAGGATCACATCATTTGATTAAAATATGTCAAAATCATATTATTATTAGCAGTAAAAAAATAGAAATTAAAAATTTATTATTATTAAAATACTCATACATTGTTATATTCCTTCTTTGATACCATTGAAAAAGGTTATAATTCACCTTAAACATATCCATATCATCGTGATTATTATTATAATCTTATAAGATCTTCCTCCTTTAATCTTCATTATGAGTATATCTTAAGTGTTTTGTTCCTATTTCACATTAGAGGTTTCATTAGAGATTTTTTTTTTCCATCAAGACTTATAGGAGAGAAAAATAAGAATAGTTTTTTTTAAAACAAAAAAATTGATAAAATATGTTTTCTATCTTTTGTTTCCATTAATAGTATTCACACATTCACCAATAATTACACTACACTGTCCACTTTCACCATGAAATTATTAAAATTGTTTTTCAACTTTTTGTTTTCATCCATGTCGTTCTCTTTCCCCAAAAATAATTTCCAAACTAGTATTATCAAACAAGTTTCTTTTATTTTTTTTTATCTCAACTTATTTTTAAGAACTGTTTTACAAAATTGGTTTCTAAATTAGTTTTAAATAATAAAGCCATAATTTTTTTTCTAGGAGACAACCAATTTAATCTTTATTTTTAATAAATATTAATAAGTTAGGTTATCATTAATGACTATATATTGCTACTTTGAAAACTACATTAAATAATTTGTTATTATGTTAAAGATTTAACTAATTAATATGTAATCAAGTTGTTTAGTTCAATGATAAAGAGTATGGTTCTTAAAATCGGACATATGATTTTAAGATTCAAATATTTAATTGAAATTCAATAAAAAATTAGATCCAAATTGAATCAAATTTAATAAAATAATATATTTTAATAATATAATAATATATTGAACTTAAAATAAGTTTATAAATAACTATAAATCATTCCAAAAATAATACATAATTATTACAACAAAAATTCTAAAAAGTAATAATCCAATTTCTAGATCTAGTAATCATCATAATCATCAAGAGTGTTTCCATCAAAATAAAATGTATCAACATCTTCATTGTTTGGACTACCATGATCATTACCACTTTGAAGTTGAAACTCCAAAGATTTAATGTATTCATCACCTATAAATAAGTAAGAAAGTTATATACAACTCCAAAAATAAGAATATTTAACAAATCAAACATGTTTAATGTAACAAAAACAAGTTCAAGTGTAAAACATTCACCTTCATTATTTTGTGATGACTTAACAATTGGAAATCCACTAATACAAGTCATTTTCAATTTCATTTATATCAAGCTCACCATGTACTTCTTCCTCAATGACTCAAAAATCAACTTGATCAATACATTCATAATCAATAGGATCATAAAATGACTTCTTGGGATATTTAAAAATAAAATCAAACATTACAATAATAGCAAAAACAAATTCATTATTTATTATACTTAAAAATATAATTATTCCTATCCTTGAGACTTAAGTTATAAGTAACATAAACTATTCAATCTCTAGTGTTTTAGACTATTTCTTCTTTTGGTATGGATTTGTTCAAAAACACTCCAATTTATCTCACATGCGAGACATAGAAGAAGTTTGATTAAGACTACGATTTGCCAAATTTTGAAAAATTGGTGCACTATTCCTAAATAATGACCATCATTAATCTAAAAAAGTATATTTACTTAGTCTTACAATCATGAAACACAAAATATATAAAATCTAAATCAATATAAAATAAATTTTATCTCACTAGGCGTGATTGACTTTGATACAATAAGAGTACTTGATTGACCAAAACTTTCTCAATAATTTTGATACATATCCATCTCAGTAATAGTCTGACTAAGATCTTTTCAAAAAGTTTGTTTCTCAAGTAAGATAATAATTGATTCCATGACTATATTCTTTTTTACAAAAGTCTCATCATATCTAAATGCAGAGTTGGGCCAATAAGTTGTTGCATGCATATTGAGTTCCAAATATTTATCCCAACAAGCCTTAATAACATTTGTGTAACATTGCTAAATATATTTTTTACGCTTAAGCATCTCCTTGATGGTATTTTTCACCATTTGCATACCTGCATACACATAGCCAATAGAAGGTCTTTCATCTCCATCTACAATTCTTGATAAATGAATGATAGGATCCACAATCTTTACAATCTTAAAATATTTCATCCAAAATTTTTGATCTAAAACAATACCACTAACCATTTTTCCTTTGTAGTTTTTGACAACTTGTGTCTAGTGAAATATTTGTCAACAATTAAGGCTTACAAGTCATTCTTGTGATCATAAATACTCTTTAATGTAATGAACATAGTTGCAAATCTAGTCATCACTGGATGGACAATTTCTTTCCACGTTCTCTTTTCCTTAACTAAGATAAGAATATAATATTAATGTATACAAATATAGTTATCTTAGAGGCTTTCTTGGCAAGATCAGCAACATGTAGCATGTTAGTAATGTCCTTTAATAAGAGATTTAAGCGGTGAGCAGCACAAGGTGATAATTAATCGTGTCATATTTTTCATGTATCAATTTGCTTGTAGTTACATAATTGGTTGCATTATCAGTCACAATGTGAACAACATTTTGAATTCTTACCCACTCAATACCTACAACATTACCAATAACAATAAATTAAAAGTTGTTTAAAAATATATGAAAAGGTAAATAAATAACACATTATCCGTTGGACAATAAATTAGAAAGTTAATCAAAGTTCTTTGTCTTTGATTAGTCCATCCTTCAGCCATAATTGTGCATCCACTCTTGGCCCAATGTTGTTTATGGCTTTCTACAAGCAATTAACACTTTCTCTTACAATCTGCCAATAAATTAAGGCTAAGTTCATGATAAGATGGACCTTTAAACCTAGGACCAATGCTAACAATTGCATCTAAAGCATATTCAAAATATGGTGTATTTATTACATTAAACGAAATGTCAGCATGATAAATCCATCGAGAAAATGTCATCTTTGCTTTGTGTATTGTTCTTCCTTACTTGCAAATACACTTTTCAAACTTGGTTGAGAGCCAGGAGCAGTTCTTGGAGCAAAATAATTATTAGCAACAATAGTGACTTTCCTTTTTTGTTTGTTTTGAGAAGTTTTAATATTAGTCACGTTGCTTTTGATTTCAACTTCTTGTACTTCCTCTTCAATATCATTGTATGTTTCATCTTTTTCGATTATTTTATTCTCCTTTGTTTCTTTTAGTAATTGTTGAAATTGAAAACGAATATTATGTGAAACTTTTTTGCAAGAACTTATATTTTCTTGTATGCCTACAAGTTGATACTTCATTCTATTTATACCCCTTCATCTATAAGCAGTGGTGGATCTTGACCATTGATCTTGGGGGGTCAAATAATATATTATTAATAAATAATAAATAAATATAAAAGGAAGAAAAAAGATGAAAGAGTGAAAGGATAAAATTGTAGATATATACTTAAATATATTAAATGATCATTAAGTTAGAGGGGGACAAAATCATAAATTATATGAGAGTTACAAAACTGAGGAGGAGCTGAGAGGATAAAATTGTAAATATACAAGTAAATATATTAAATGTTCATTAAGTTTGGGGGGGCAAAATCATAAATTACATCGGAGTTACAAAACTTTGGGGGGGTCACGGCCCCTTCAGACTCCCAAGAAGATCCGTCACTATTATAAGAATTGAGATAATGCAAACAAGTGTATATATTGGTTTTTTCATCTTTTTTAAATGTAAAATTATCCCATGCAAAATCTATTTTTCTATGACTTGCAGATGGATTGCTTATCAGATGACATATTAACATTATTTTGATTATTATCCATAGGAATATTATTCACACTTGTTAATTCCTGCATCATAAATAACAATAACAATTCTAATCCAATATAAATATTATTTGAAAAAGTATTATATAATAATAAGAATGATTTGTAGAATACATAAATGAAAAGTAACATGAATAAACATATCATCAAACAATTGGAGTACAAAACAATTAGAGAAAAAAGATTGTCATTGCACCTAACTTGAAAATTATTAGGAAAAAAAGATTGCAACTAACTTGAAATAATTAAGAAAAAAAATTACATATAACTTAAAAGCAATTAAGGAGCGAAAATTGTACCATATCTTCCATTGCATCTAACTTCAAATTTTATACATTTTATTTTATTTCAAGGTATGGTTATGGAATCTAAGGATAACTCACTACACTTAGCTCATGTTCCCTCATCAATATCAATTTTGCTCATAGTATCCAATTTTAGAAATCATCACGATTTTAGAAAATCCCAATTTTAAAAAACCCTAATTTTAAAAAATTCCAAATTTAGTTTCATGAAATATGCACTGAAAATACTTCCAAAAATATTATTCATTTACAGTGTGACATCTCCAAAATTGTTTTATCAAATTAATTTTTGAAATGAAGAGATTGTGATTCTTATATGTTGCTGTGTTTTCATAAATAATTGTAGTGATAACAGTAGACCACAATGACAGCAAGAGCGACGTCGTAAGAAGACAATCAAAGGTAGTGGGTAGTGGTAATAGTTGTGAAAACGAAGACTACAGTGAAAGAAGAACACTACCACCAGTATAAAAAACTTTCTCTCTTCACATTTGTGTGTCTATGTGTTAATTAAAGAAAAAAAAACACAGGACAAAACAACTTCATTTAACCTTTTTTTTTTTAAATGGGTGACCCCTTGACCTGTCCAGTTTCATTGGTTTATCTGATTTTTTTACTAGTTCATTGTTCGGCCAGTTTTTAGAGAGTTCAAAATCGGTCATCAGACCAGTTGAACTAGTCAATCCGGCCCGCTTTTGATAATCATTGTTGTAGGTAGAATCAATTGTCCCGTGGAGGAGGCTGGGTGGACCGAGTAACAATCGAATAAAAAAGAGTTGCGCTCTGACTAATAGTTATAGCTTTTGGTCAAGTGGTAAGCGCTTCATCCTAACAATTGGTATCAGAGCTAAGGTCACGAGTTCGATTCTTGGTGGACAATTGTTGAGGGAGAGATTGTTGCGGGTTGCACAATTGGTCCCGTGGCAGAGATCGGGTGGGTCGAGTCACAATCCAAGAGTGAGATTCCTTGTAGGACTTTTAACTATGTGGTTGTGGGTTCAAACTCCATAAATGGTGATTATGAGGTGTTGCAACCACTAGACAACTTTTAAAGAATGTGATGCAAAATTATATTAAGGAAGGCTAGTATTGATGGTGTTGCATGACTTTTAACTATATGGTTATGGGTTCAAACTCCATAAATGATAATTATAAGGTGTTGCAACCACTAGACAACTTTCTAAGAATATGATACAAAATGATATTAAGGAAGACTAATATTGATGGTGTTGCTTATGGATTTCCCAACCTTATTGTTCTCTTCTTTTCTTATACTACTATTTGATAATACTATTGTTTTATGGGTTCGAACCCTAACCACTAAACAACTTTTTAAGAGTGTGATGCAGAATGATATTAAGGAAGGATAATATTGATGATGTTGCCCATGAATCTCCTGACCTTCTTGTTCTTTGGGGAATTTTTCGGAGTCCAAAGGGTGAATTTTTGGGAGGATTCTATGCTTTTCTTGGTATTACTATTGTTATATACATAGATGTTGAGGCGACAATGATTTGTATTAAATATGCTTATTCTAGATGTTAGATAACCTTTGGATTGAGAGTGATTCAATTTTGGTTGTGGCAACTTTTAATAAAGTTGAGAAAATTCCTTAAAATTTTTGAAATAGATGGTTCACTTGTCTTTATCTTTGCAACAAATGGCACGGTTCATGTTTCTCATATTTTTCATGAGGGGAATAAGTGTATTGATAACATGACTAATATGGGAATATCAAATAAAATATCATGTTATTGATGTTATGCTCTATTGGTTGAACAAACTTTAAAGTTTTTTACGAATAGATATGATTTACTTAAATATAGATTTACATTATGTTATTTCTATGAGTTTAGTTTGATCCTCTTTTGGATTTGTAATTTGCTTTTTAGTTAATGCATTTTCATATGGAACCAAATAAAGGATGAAATTATTGTACTACCCTAATTAGGATAAGAGTTTCATAATGATGTTGTGCATGAAAGTTTATTAAAAAAAACAAAAAATTATCAAAGGCACACAAATTAATCTTTTAAAAATATTTAACACTAATTAATAAACTATAATACTTTTAAAAACAAAATAAAAAACTAAAATTCATAAAATATATTTCCTACCTTTTGTTTCATGAATAATAATATACATTCACCAATAATTACACTAGATCACTCACCTATAATTACACTGATCACTCACCTATTTAACAACTATTAATAATAGCTCAGTGGTAGAGTGAGGGTTTTTAACACTTATATTTTCTAGCATACAATCTATTTAATCTTTGTTTTTAACAATTATTAATGAGTTAGGTGTGAAATGTGAGAAGAGAAGTTCTACATCAGGAAAATTATATGTTGGTGCTTACTTTTCCTGTTATAAAAAGAGCACCATATCTACCTTGTAAATCACCCTAAATCTCTTTTTTCTCCTTTCTACTAATGCATTGCATAGTAGTTGAGTTCTCTTATTTCAGAGAGAGAATATTATTATTGTTTTTTCCTTAGATTTAAAGAGAGTGTTGTAATTTCTTCCGATAATAAAATTATATTATTGTCTATTATCTATTTTGTTTCTTTTTTCTCCTCATCTTTTATTTTAGTTGAGTTCTTATGCAGTTACTATGATTCCTAACAGTGGTATCAGAGCCACTAGGTTGTGATATTGGTCTTCTGCTGCATAGTCATAACATTGGTATCAGAGCCACTAGGTTGTGATATTAATCTTCTGTTGCATAGTCATTAGAATAGTGTTGGAGAAAATTCTTAGTATGCTATGTGGTTGTGGTTAATCTGATCTTCCACGTCAGAAAATAGTTATTCTTGTTACTGAATATTATTTGGTAGTGTGATAATGCATGTTTAGGAAAAGTTCTGGCAAGGAAAGACTTGGTATTTAAACGTGTCTATTAGTAACCCACATCTTTTTCCTAGGAACTTACCTGGTGTACTAGTTCACGGTCTACCGTTATTGTTCCAGTAGACAATACTATTCACAGTGAGGATTGCATAAGTCGATTTGGAACCATGACAACAAAATATGAGATAGAGAAGTTTAATGGGAATAGTTTCTCATTGGGAAAATTGAAGATGAAGACAATTGTGTAAAAGCAATTGGAAAAATATTATCGAAGGTGGGAAGAAATTTACAACAACGCTATAGAAAATTTGTGGAGAAGAGTATAATGAAGGAGATTTGGGAGTCTCTTGTTAAATTGTATAAGGAGGAAACACATATTGAACTTGATTTATCTTGTTGTGTTGGAATCGCCAGTATTATCCCTAGGAGGGGCTAAATATTTTGTGTCAGTGATAACAATGATTACTCCAGGAGATTATGGGTGTACCACATCAAGAGGAAGTTTGTGTTTTCAAAGTTTGGGAAAGGCAAATTCTTGGACTGCTAACAATGTGAAGGGGTATTTCCTATGGATCCCATTATCCAAAGGTTATTGTTAGCGGTAATACAAGAAAGGATTGGTGTGCTCCAACCAGAAGACTTAAAGAAAAAGAAAAATTGGTTTACAGGTTGACCAAATCTTTGTACGGTTTAAACCGGGTGTCCAGGTTTTAGTACAAGAGATTTGATTCTTCATGATTAGCCTTGATTACAACAAATTAAGTTCAGACTATTGTACCTATTACAATATATTTGATAAGAATGATTTTATCATTTTGTTGTTGTATGTGGATTACATGTTGGTGGTAGGCTCCAACAAAATTTGAATCCAAGTTTTGAAGGCACAATTGGCTAAGAAATATGATATGAAGAACTAAGGACCAACAAACAAGATTTTAGGGATGCAAATTTACTGAGACAGAAAAGATAAGAAGGTATGACTTTATTAGAAAAATTACTTACTGAAGGTCTTGCAGTGCTTCAACATGCAAGGTGTAAGTCAGTTTTTACCCCATTTTCTATCATGTTATCCTCAAATATGAGTCCTAGCAATGAAATAGGGAGGATGAAAATGTCTCGAGTATTGTATGCATCAATGGTGGGAAGTCTTATAAATACCATGATCGGAATAAGACTAGACATTGCACAATTAGTGGGAGTGGTTAGTAGATCAATGACAAATTGTGATGGAGAGCATGAGTATTATCAAGAGAATTCTTATCAAAGGAACCTTGAATGTTGTATTATGTTTCGAAGGATCAAAACTAGTTGTCAAATGCTATGTTTGTTCAGGTTTTACAGACGATCTTGATGAATTTACCTTTGTTGGAGATACAATAATGGGTTATCCAAGTTATAGGATGTTTTGTAGCTATGTTTATTATAAAAACTGAGTACATGGTAGCGACTCAAGCATGTAAGAGCTATTTGGATTAAGAATATAATGGAGGAACTCGGGCACAAGTAGCAACAAATTGGTGTGTATTGTGACGGTCATAGTATCTTGCACATTGCAAGGAATCCTACCTCGTATTTCAAGATAAAGCAAGAAGTACCTAGCAGATGTTATGACAGTCGGTTAGTAGTGACAAGTTTACATAGAGACGATCCTACTAAAGGTCTATTACAATAACATGGAAGACAGTAATAATGCATTGTGAAGATTTGATTAATTTAATAAAATCTTCAAGTGGGAGATTGTGAGAATGTGAGAAGAGAAATCCCACATCAGGAAAAGTATATGTTGGTGCTTATTTTTCCTGTTATAAAAGGAGTACCATGTCTACCTTTTAAATCACCTCAAATCTCTTTTTTCTCCTTTCTACTAGTGCATTGCATAGTAGTTAAGTTCTCTTGTTTCTGAGAGAGAATATTATTATTGTTTTCTCATTAGATTTAAAGAGGGTATTATAATTTATTCCGGTAGTAAAAATTCTATTATTGTCTGTTTTGTTTCTCTTTTCTCATCTTTTATTTTAATTGTGCGTTCTTATGCAGTTACTCTTATTCCTAACATTAAGTTATCTACATTAATGGCTACATATTCTTCACCTGAAAACTAAATTCACTAAATCATTATTCCATTAAAGATTTAATTAACTAAGGTAAAATTAAGCCATCTTAGATTAATGGTAGAGCACATGGCTTTTAACCATGTGATTAGGTTCAAGGATGGTCAATGAAGAGTATAAAATGGCTAATGAAGAGTATAATTAAATCCATTTGACATAACCTTTAAATTTAAAATAATTTCATTTTGGTTACAGTAGATAAAGTGTCTTGCTCTTTATAAACAAATGACATGAATTTTTAATTTTTTTAGGAATAAACATGGTTTATCTTAATATATATTTATATGATTTTATTCATATGGGCTTGGTTTGGTCCTTTGATGAATTTTGTATTTTTATTTTTGGTTAATGCATTTTCATGTTGAAACAAATGAAATATGAAATTGTTGTATGATATGCAAGAGGACAATAGAGGTTGACATTGCCTTTGGACTCAAAGTGATCCAATTTTGGTTCTGGTGAATCAAGTTTGCTAACAAATGACAATCTCCATAGATGGGAAAAAGAGTATTGAATCCATTAAGTATTAGTTTGTAGATGCAAAGTGAGAGTGGTCTGTATTGAATCTACTTATTTAAGAGGTTGACATCGTATTTAATATCAGAGTGATTCAATTTTGGTTTTGACGAATCAAATATTTTGATATTTGCAAACAAATGGTACAGTTCATGTTTATCATATTTTTCATCCAATGTTGATAAGATGTCTAACATGAGAATATTAAATAAAATACCAGTTCAATGGTATTATACTGATAGACTAAATTTAATTTTTTTTTAGGAATAGATATGATATAGATTTATTCGATGTTATTTTTATGATTTTAGTTGTCTTATGTTAAATTTTACAATTTTCCTTTCGGTTAATACTTTTTCATATATATATAGAAGAAAATAACTAGATGACGTTATTATGCTAACATAATTAGATAATAGTTCGTAGTGATGATTTGCATGAAAGTTTATTAATAAGAAATCAATAATTATGAAAGTACAAATTAATCTTTATAAAATATTAAATAGTAATTAATAGATACCAATACTAAAAAAGTCCATACATTCACCAACTGCATCACTCATTTTCATCATTGTCAAGTTATTAAAATCGTTTTTCATCATTCTTTTTAACAACAATTAGTAAGTTAGGTTATCTTCATTAATGGCTACATATTTGTGACCTTCAAGACTAAATTTACTAAATTATTATTTCATTAAATGTTTAATTTATTAATGTGTAATTCAGCCATCTTAGCTCAATGGTAGAGCCCATGGCTTTTAACCATGTCCTGGTGGGTTTGATTCCCACAGATGATGATTAAGATTATGATTAAGATTACAATTACACAAATGAAAAATGTTATATAATAATATTATTTCCATTGGATTTAGTTTTGTCGTTTCATTAATTTTGTTTTTTTTTATTAATTAATTTTCTTGTTGAAACAAATGAAATCTATCTCATCACGCGGATGTGACTCAAACTCATGGTGCCTCTTTGTACTCTTGCTATAGCTTATGTCATATACATATTGAAACCTTGTACATAAGTTATGAAATTCTCCTCTCATTATGTTTAACATTGATTCATTTTTAACTTGCTTAATATGAAGTTTAGCTCTCAAGTAAAGATGTGATCATTGCTTTTATAATAAATGTGTTCTAAATTATTTGGAAAATGCAAATGATTGTACATTTCATAAGCTTCATAAGCGTTTCTAGGGTTAAAACTAAAGTTGTAACAACTGACAATTTTTTCAGGGTATGATGCAAAATAATATTAAAACTAATCCATTAAGTATTGTTTTTTATATAATTAAATTCTTTATTATAAAATTATTTTACATGATGAATTTAAAAATGTTATAATTAATTTATGTTTGTAAATTTATTTTGATATAATGGGTGGTATGGCTTTTATGAGTTTTGAGTGATTTGATAATAATTTTAAATATCAAAAGATGATAAATATTAATAATCAGTGGATTTATCTTAATTTTGAAACATTATTTTTTTCCCTAACATATATATATATATATATATATATATATATATATATATATAATTTATATAAAATATTTTAAATTAATTTTTAAAAATAATCAAATTATGTTTAAATTTAGCATTTCAAAAAAAATTGTTTATTAATTTTTTGAAATGATATATGTTCTTGATTTTATAATTTGAAATATTAAAAATTATATATTTTTAAATTTGTTCATTCAAAAAAGTTTGCATTTTTTTTAATTTGAAATACTTTAAAATATATTTTTTAATCATTAATTTAATAAAAGTAACAAGAATATTTTTTAAAATAATTATAAAATATATATATATATATATATATATATATATATATATATATATATATATATATATATATATATATATATATATATATATATATATAAAGATGCAGAAAACTGTACGTAATAATTGTTTACCCAAGTCGGGTTAGGGCTGCACGTTTGGTTTCTGTTTAGAGCATAAGTTTGGGCCTGAAATTTTATTTACCTTTTTTTTTTCTTCTTTCATTTATTTGAACAGGACATAAATATGACTCAATTTTGTTTTCTTAACTTTTTTTTCTTCTTGGAACAGAGCATAAATATGGCCCAATTCTTTTCTTAGCCTTTTAATTGTATTTGATTGGATGATAAATATGGCCCAATTCTTTTCTTAGCCTTTTAATTGTATTTGATTGGATGAAATTTATCAACAGATCCATAATAAAATTTTATATTAATTTAATACTTTCTAAATATCTATGTAACAAATTTAATTATATGCACATTTTTTATAATTTTATAATTTTTAAATATAAGATAATAATAAATATTATATAATTAAATGGAAATAAATAATATTATTTTAATATCGGTTACCTAACCAAAATATTAAAAAAGTAATATAGTTGTTTAAATTCTAAGTTTTATGACACGAGTTGAGAAAACTAGTTATCTTACATATTGTAATATTGTAGCTTATCTTATATAACTCGTTTAGACAATTTTTTTCATAAAGACTTATAAAAGAGAAAAAAAATTAACTTCTTCAAAAAGATAACTTATACACAAACTAATTCATAGGAATTTCTTTCATGTAGCTTCTCCAATTTTTGATTTTTAATGTATGTATAAATTAATGTTAATTTGTGAAGATAACTTATATACAAACTAATTCATAGAAATTTCTCTCATGTAGCTTCTCCAAATTTTGATTTTTAATTTATGTATAAATTAATGTTAATTTGTGAAGTTCAACTTATTTTGTTTTGTATTATTTTTTTCTTAGAAGTTTATGTAACATTTGTCCAAAAATATAGTAGAAATAAGAATAGTATGAACTTGATTGCTGTGTAACCTCTCCATCAACTAGCACATAATCTGGAATTACATCATAAACACGTTATTTTAGTTTTTGCCTCTTTGTGCTCCTTTTCAAATATTTTTATTCTTTTGGGACCTTACCTCCAAAACCTCAATAAAAACTAAAACATCTTTTATTTATTTTTGTTAAAATAGTTCTCAAGAATAGTTTTTTTTTTAAACAAAAAAAATATAAATTGATAAAATATGTTTCCTGTCTTTTATTTCCATTAATAATATTCACACATTCACCAATTATTACACAATTTAAATTATTTTTCAATTTTTTTTCATTGAGATGCTCCTATTTAAATAAAGTATGAATTGTTTTATGAAATAATTATAAAAAGTATTAAGCACTTATCATGTCACATAATATTCTTTCAATAAAAAATTATTTTAAACAACTAATATTTTATTTAAGTATATTAATAAACAACTTCCATTAAAGAATAAGTTTAGTTATCATCATTTTGAAAACTAAATTGAATAATTTATTACTCTCTTAAAGATTTAATTAATAAATGTTTTAGTTAAATGGTAGAACATATGAGGTGCCTAAGAAAGTGTCGTGGGTTGGATCCTATAGGAGGAGTAAGTGTAAGTAATGCAAAATTATATCCCATAGGGGTATTTTTAAAGGTTCCAAGAGTGAATTTATGGGAGGATTCACCACTTTTTATTGGCATTAGTATTGTTTTATACGTTGTCATTCATGAAAGTTTATTAAAAAATATCAAAAATTTAAATTAGTCTTTTCAATATATTAAACAATAATTAATAGATAATAATACTTATAAAATTTTGATAAAATATATTTTAGGATTTAAGGTTTAGAGTTTATGCTTTTTAAAATTTTGATAATAATACTTATGAAATTTTGATAAAATTATAATTTTCTTTTTGGTTAATGCTTTTTTTGGTAATTATTGTGCTAACATAATTAGGATAATATTTTCATAGTAATAATGCTTTGCATGAAATTTTATTAAAAAGAAATCAATAATTATGGAAGACACAAATTAGTCTTTTTAAAATATTAAATTGTAATTAATAGATAAATACTTAAGAAAAAATTGATAAAATATATTTTCTGCCTCTTATTTTCATTAATAATATCCGTATGTTCACCAATAATTACACTACATTACTCACTTTTATCATTATCAAGTTATTAAAATATTTTTTTCATCTTTTGTAACTTTTTTTACTCATAGATGTTATTCTCTTTCCCTTGAAATAGTTTGCAAACTAGTATTATTAAACAAGTTCTTTATCTCAACTTATTGTTTAAAATTTATTTTACAAAATTAATCTCTAAAAATTATTTTTAATATAAATCCATAATTTTTTGTTTGTGGAGACAATCTATTTAATCATTATTTTTAACAACTATTAATAAGTTAGACTATCTTCAGTTACATATTTGTGAACTTAAAGACAAAATTTGCTAAATTATTAGTCCATTAAAAGTTTAATTAATTAACATATAAACAAGCCATCTTAGCTCAGTGGTTGAGCGCATGGCTTTTAACCATGTGGTTGTGGGTTCGATCCCCACAGATGGCGAATGAGAGTGTAGTTGAATTAGGGATGACAATGGGTGCTTTGACTTTTATTTTTATGAATTTTTATAGGATATGCACGAAATAATTGTTTACCCAATTCGGGTTAGGGCTGGTTTCTGTTTAGACCATAAATTTGGGCCTGAAATTTTATTTTGCTTTTTCTTTTCTTCTTTCATTTTTGGAACAGAGCATAAATATGGCCCAACTTTTTTCCTTAGCCTTTTAATTGTATTTGATTTAATGAAATTTATCAAGAGGGTCCATAATAAAATTTTATATTAGTATAAATCTTAATTTAATACTTTCTAAATATCTATGTAACGAATTTAATTATATGCACATTTTATATATTTTTTAATTTTTAAATATAAGATAATAATAAATATTATATAATTATATAAAAATAAATAATGTTATAATAAATAACGGTTAAAAAAGTAATGTAAATTTTTAAATTCTAAGGTCTATGATACGAGTTGAGAAACTAGTTTTCTTACATAATTCGTTCCGAACTTAATTAAACCTATTATTTAGTTATAATAATATTTTCAACCAAAATTTTATGTCTTAAAATATTCTATTCAGTCTTAGATAGAAACTTAAATGTGTAGGTAATGAGAACTTGTTAACTTAAAGTAAATTTTTAATTAAAAGATAATATAACAAAAATAAAAATAAACTAAAATTTTAGTTAAAATTTTGTCATCTTAATTTTTTCTTTAGATTAAAATTTAAATAAAATATATAACATTAAAATGTAATTAAGATAAATTATAATGATGTATATGAGGATAGAAAATAAGCTACTTGAATGCGACTGTGATTTAAAGAAAATTTTTGAGACATTATGTATTCTTACAATTTTTGTCCAAATTAATAATGCTGTTTTTTAATAATAATAATAATAATAATAAACAAATAAATAAATAAAATTGAATAAGTTGATTTAGGTGCATATTGTTATCAATTATTTATCTTAATACAATACTAAAAAATTAATTATTTTCTACTATTTTTCTTGTAAAAATTTATTTATATTTATAGAAAACTTATTTCTTACCATTTTTTATAAAAAATTTATAAAAATATTCTCATGAGATATGAGAATTTCTAATAGTGATAATAAACATTAGAACAAAATTTATCAACTTAAAAATATTTTCTATTTAAAGAATTCGTAACTCTTATTTTCTAAGAAAACTAATATATAAAAAGCAATTATTAACAATAATTACTATAATTATAATTATAATATAATAATCGTATTAATAATATTAAATAAAAATGATTGAATTAAATGTAAGATTATTTTAATCTTGGATTATCACAAGTTGTGACAATTTAATCATTCCAAACTCTTTTTAAAACATATCATAATTAT